ATCTTGTCTTTCCACTTGGATGGTTTCTCGCGACGCGCTCATCCCTCGCTTTGCGTTCCAACACAGACAAGGTATAACCATATAATTAACAAAAACCAAAAAAAAAATATGGCATATGCCTGGAAGGAGGCCTTGACGTCTCAACCACCATAGTCCGGGTGCACGACACCATGAAATTAAACATAGAAGGCTGATGCAACGTTATTAGCAAATCAATGAATACGAAACGTACGGAGGATTGCACGTGTCAATCATTAATACTTTCGACGTATTCAGTACGTTTCCGTAATGGCGGCGAGATGATACCATAAAATCAGATTTTTTTTTTCGATTAATAATTCTCGTAGTTGCCGTGATTTTGATGCACTTTCCTAGCGACGTCAATAACATGGCTGACAGTAGTGAATTTAAGTGATATGCTTTCAATACTGGCACAAATAGATACAATGTGAATCAATTCTGAATGAGACTTAGAGGCTCCCATAATAGGCAAAATCAGTCAATATTGAACAAAGCAAAACGTTTTTAAATCCCTCTCCCTGGCGTTGCTGTTCTCTACGGGCAATGCATTGTGGTCCGGATCGTGATTGATATAGCACTAGGAACATCGTTTTTTTATGCACTTAAGACGCAAGATGTTGGTTGCTCTTATATCACAGTACAGCGACTACGTTTGACACATATTAGGTAGATATTACCATACGCACGGAGATTATTATTTTTACTATGTCTGTCCCGAAATGAAAACGTATTATATAGCAGCTCACATATTTGACAAGTTTTGTTGTTGTTAACATTGTCAGTTTTTACATAATTGCATTCTGGTCACATAGATGGGAGACTAGTGTCACTGGTGGTTTCGAAATAATTGTTTTCAAGTCGATTGAAATAATTAATAAATGTGTATGTGTTTGAGACGACGTGACTGTTAAGTCACTGAGTTAAGATAAAAGTGTTGTTTTTGTGTGTGTTTTTTGCAATAAGCGGATATTGACTAGCATTGAACAAATACGTTTACAAACTAAAATGGCCGCCAGTTGGCCATACTGACTTGTATCGCTTGAGGTTGTCATCCAACTTTGATGACATCGATTTAATCATTTTCGGAAAAGCGCGGTAGCGGACACGTTCATATTTGAGAAAATTCAATCTCATAAATGGCCGACAGTCAGTCATTTTATATTGTATCACAGCGCAAACGATATAATTAATATATATGGGTCACGGAAAAAAAATGCTGTTTGTGTGAACTCGTATTAGGCAGTTTTGGAATGCATATAAACCGTGAAAAGTCGTTGAAAACAATTCGATACGACTGTGATGTTGTCCAATCGCCATATATTTAGTACTTCTCATCCTAATTGATACTCCCTAAGTGTCGTGTCATTCCTTATGGACTCCCCGAAATAGTTGTTTTAGGAATGGAAATTCAATATGACTTTAGCATTATGTATCATGATTGCTCGAATATCGGATAACTATTGACGTATCAATCGCATTACATGTACTTTCACGTCTCATTCAAACTCGTGTTATTTAAAAATATTATGAAAAAGTGTTATTGAGAAATTAAATTTATGTTGTGATAGTACGTTTGAAAGAAACTTCGAATCAGGTTTACGGTTGTCCCTCTTTCATAAACAAATCGTTTTGTTCACTTTCTTCACACTTTCGTCTTAATGATATAGATCACTGACACCCAAACTACACGGATATGCTGTATTTATGTTGACCAAAAATCAGATATTAATTTTCATTTTTCATTCAAGAAATAGTTTTGATTTAGTCCTGATAAACAAGTGATGTTTCAACATCTGTTCCTTTATATAAGCTCGTGGTTTGGGTAAGTTTATATTGTCGCTTTATTGCAATAATCAATCAAATCTGACTAATTGCCATAAATTGCACTTTGTTTAGTTTAAGAGATCAAAAATATGTTTACTTTGTTCTAGCGAAAACACGAAGTAGGAACAAATTGATATTGTCAAAACAATTGAAGACAGGATGTTAGCGCAGTGGTCGTCGCGCAGCGCGTGTCGAATTTCACGTAAATAACAATGTATTTTAAACGCGTTGTATACATCGCTATGAGTTCCATTTCAATCAGAACGCGGCGCGATGACTACCGCCCTTCAAAATAATTCTATCGTGTGAGTACTAAAACATTTTTATTCATTTGCATAATCATCATGACTATGTTTACATTTTGTAAAAGCTAGTACAGATATATATTCACCACACATTAAAACACTAACTGTATATTCACCAATTTCCACGGAATCGCATTATAGATATATTGAAATTAACACAACAAAATACTATACATTAATAATAAATGAATAATTCATAAGTTCCTATAAAAGGCCAAATGCATACCATTGAACATTCTTGATAATGGAACAGGATACTGTATTCAAGTCATGTCAACGTACAAAAGAATTGAAATGAATTTATTTGTAACTAGCAAGTCTCCCCAAAACGGTAGTATTACGTATCTCAAGGACTATGTATCGCCAAGTTCTTAGAAAAAGGGATGTATAAAAAAGGATTTGTTATGAGATTACAAAATATCACACGATGAACAATTAATAATATTAACGCATAAAGTGTCCAATTTTCATAAACGTACAATCACATGATTAAAATATACTTTTTGTCAATTGCCGATTTTCCTTTGTAACAGTTATCACAACAAAACATGAGCCTTAACGGGACTTCCGTTTGAATCTGTACATCAAAACACGTTTTTCATTGCAACTAAAGCTAAAATACTCAAACATGACCATATTATTAACTTTGGGCTGAAATTAGAACGTCAATTATCTCGTTAAACCGCACGATCATGACTATACATTTTATTGCATTATTATGTTTCGTTTATTAAACCAAAAAGGATCATATCCGAAATACAATGGCAATATTATGATGTTAAAGTACTTTAGGCGATTTAAAATTCATAAATAGTTGTGTGCCTGATCTTCACTGTATTATTCGTCTTGTTGGTACGATCTAGGTTGCAAACACTGATGTTACAATTACATGTTCTTCCAATTAGTGTAATGTAAGTGTGTAATTATTTTGAATAGTCAATGTTCTGAAGTGTACTTGTGTATAAAAGATTTGTGCCCCTTATTCGATGGACACTCGTCAAAATTAGGGGTAATATTTTTCGCTTAGTCACGTGACTAGATTCATGGATTTAAGGGTATAATTTGCAATCAATAAACACATTTAGGAGTATTGCTGGGCTTAAATATTTAGTATTTTTTACTGAAATGTTCGCTGTAAACAAACGTTTCAAAATCACAGGTACTATCTTTTAAAATGAATGCCAAGAATATGTTTTGGGTGTAAATTCAAGATGGGTAGTGTTTGCATTAAACATTTTTTAGCCTCCCCAATGTTGTACGCGAACAGAGCGTATTCGGATGTAAAATTGAAATCCCATTTGCAAGGTTGTGTTTCCATCATCCGAGATATATAAACATTGTTTATTTCATTCTCCAATAGAGGGCGAATGCAACTGCGAGATAAATGTTGTTTTCTAATATTGACGCATTTAAGAGTCAGTGAGAAAACCGGTAGCCCATTACAAGCATGAATGTTAGGGTCATCGTTCGAACAAGATCGTTTGTGAAATCGTATGTTACTAGTATCATTATGGACGAGCCAGTTCTCGTCACCTACGAACGACACAATCTCCGCCGTGCAGTGCGCGTTCGGATTCCAGGATAACAAAAAACGCATTCTGCTTGCGTTGAATTGTTTACGTCGCATGGAGCCCATAGTAAGCATAACATGGCGCGAGGGATATCACCCTGTACGACGCAATTACCCTTTTTTTCTTGCGAAGAATGTTAAAATATTGTAAAACGAAAACAATGATTGTATCACTAAATGGAGAAAAAGGGTTTGTAAATTATTCATCAATGTGCTCCATAAATCAATAAATCATAAAGGGTTTATGAGATAATCGTCACTTTCAAGTTTATCATTAGGCCTCGTGGTAAATGGCCTATGGTTTCTCTCGACATTCAACCACGCATTATTTTACGTTTTATTATTTTAATTTGAGGTCAATAAACTACGGAGAATGAGATGACCAAACGTTGTGCGCGTTCTAGTCTTTCCAAAGGCACAAAACCCGTGGGTAAAAGTTTACACTAAGGCCACGGTGAGCTCAATATCTGGTACGTGTAAATAAAGTCAGTAAATTCTGAAAATTTTGTTGATTATCACTTTTCCTCGATTAAATAATACGAGCGATTATATCAACATTAAACAAGAATCCTTTCTCATCTATATGTCTCGCAATACACACAGTGATTTTAGACACACTGCGTTTTAAGAACATTTTGGTGAGACTGGGGTGGTCGATTAAGTATCGTTGTTGAGCGTCACGGATATCAATATTTTTATAATCATAATGTGAACGCACTCAAAAGACAATTGCATCACGAGATATTCGCCACCACTTGTGCATCATTTGCGATTTTGTCGAAATTCAACTTGCATCTAATTTGCATTAAATCGCGATTGGTCGTCGCGCAGCGCGTGTTCGAAATTCATGTAAATAAACAATGTATTTTACACGCGTTGTATACGTCGATATGAGTCCCATAACGAACAGGGCACGGCACGACGACTGCCGCCTTTTAAATATGCAAAAATTTGAACTGTGTATTTTCAAAGAAATTCAGGAGAAATTGTTTCCGTGATGAAAGGAGAAGCCAAATGAGAAAATGTACAGGACGATCTGCTCAAAAACCCCAGCGACTACAATGAGCCACACTAGCAGTACTTGTACGCGTGCACTAATAGAACGCCTGACTCATCGACACAGGGAATTCGACAATGACAGCTTGGTAGAGTTTTCCATCAAGATTATTCTTCTCGCATAAACGTCGAGGTGTTCGATGTCATTATAACGCTTGAAATTTTGTTATCGGGGTATGTTAAAAATGTAAACAAATCGTGTGAGCAACTCTACGATACCTTACCTTGCGTTTTCAGGTCCCCATCGAGAGGATGGTAGGCTCCTACGTTGTAGCGCTCCTCGTCTTCATCCGGTGGTGGGCCCTGATAAAGTTCAATGTGATTCAGTACGCCGTTCTGCGTTTTCTCTTTCGGCACAGTCGTCGAGTTCATACTTTTTAGCTTAATTGCTGAAATAAACAGACAAAACGGAGGGACGTTTTAACGATTGCTCTGTTACAAAGTTACATATTTTGAGCAATGTACAAGAAAACACGGCGATATGCAAGAATAAAAATGCGATGTCGCAATTTGTGAAGCGAAACATTACGCGTTCGTTGCTCATTCAACCGAATTAATGCTAATTCCAGAGAAGCAACCATAAATGTACGCACGTTTAAAGCAGATAGCATGTCCGTTTGCGACAATAAACTAACAATTCGCGCAGTTCTGACAGGTAAAATGAACAAAATAGCATTCTCGTGTTAGACCCTAAAAGAATTGAACTCACATTTAACAGCCATTCAAGCCGGAAGATAAAAAATAAATAAAAAAAAAAACCTCCAGTACGAGTTGTGAGGAATACCACTTACCGTTTACATGTAACTCACAAAACCCACTTTCATTGAACTTTTATGTCCGTTGCCACCCACAATGCACCATTTATCACATTAAATTAGCGTGAAATATAATAATATCGAGAGTAACCGAGAATAATAATTGTTAACGCTACTCATCTGTGCGGATCAACGGATGTAATCGACAGATACGAACTGCTCATGCGCAATGCACTGCGTACGTTTTCTCTCACTGATAACAATCTTCAAACCGTACAAATATCATAATTAACTCGTGGAGTACATTTCAACCCTTGGGCAAAGCAACTAATTGTATACAAATTAAAATGAGTTTACATAAATTATTTAATTACCTTTGTTATGAACCCAATAAGACAATTAGTATATTTCCACATCAAGAGGCCCGATTGCAGTAATAATGGGACACATCGGTTGTTTTACGTTGATTGTGTTAATATGCAAATTGGAGTAAATGATCATTTAATACAATTATGGATGTAACTGGACGAATGTAATCAGCATAATTACTCGCCGCAGGTGAAGCCATTCGGCAAAATATCTAGCTAGTCATTCACGACAAAAGCCTTCTTAAATCTACAATTAATTGATTTTATTCTGAAATCTTTATTTTATTAAACATCCATATAAAGGCTTCAATTATTTTATATAAAACGCCTCGTTGATAGTGGGAATGCCGTTTTCTTCTCACATATATTTCGGACAAAAAACACACTTATCATATTACAAAGTAAAATGTTGAGATTAAAAAAAAATGTTTTATTTAAAAGTTGGAATGATAAATGTTGGCCTTGGTCGAACTCAGCTTAATCTACATAAAACTATTGTGGGCGTAGTTTTAAGGGCATGCCGTGAATTGGATGTTTCAGTTTTAACCCACCAACCGTTTGCGTTTTCGAGCCAAACTGGAATGTTTTGACACGCTAGGGCATAAAACGAGAAATTTAAAAAACATTTTTTTTCCAATACATTGAGTATTAGATTAGGCGTGAATGTCGACAACAATACCACTACCACGTGTACCTACACACGGCAAGTTGACGATAGTGTGAACAATCGTACCGCAAATTAGGAGAGCTCGCCTCCAGAATAATACAATTACGATCGAACTCTTTATAGTGAATTTTATAAAACGGTGATCCCTTTTTATTAATATATTCAATGCATTTGAACAATGCATGTATCTCCAGGCTCAGATCATGAATTATTCTGACGGTTTGAAAGAAGTCGTTTCATTATTTTTAAATCAAGAATTTGTGTTCATTGTCGGTAGTTGGCCGCGGAAGGAAGGCATTATTTCTTTCTTTTTGAGTCCTGTGATTTTTACGAAGATCGTGATGTCTTTTTTATGACATCAAACTTTTCATATTAATATTACAGAGAGCCGGGATTCAGTAAATAAAACACTGTCTCAATGAATTGGCTTCAGCAATAAATAACGTGCGTGAGAAGCAGACTCGTTTATAGAATTGGAATCGTGTTACTTCGTGGTGATTGTGAAAGCGACATGTTTTAAATAAATTAGTTGGAATAAATATCCGTTATTCCACTAATAGCTATGCTCTCGCCGGATCGTTATTACGAGTTCCACTTAGTCTGTCGGTTACGTTAGAAGTGTAATTGTTGGGTATGTACGCTGCTTTTACAAGCCGCTTTTATTTGGCCCTTAAAGCGTGGATGCGTTTTTTGTTGTTGATATTGTGTAATACCCTCGGTTGCAGTAGAAGGAAGATAATTAATATGCTGAATAATGTGTAGTGATGATATTCGATCCATTATGAAGCTGTACAGCTTAAAATATGGAAGACATCAGTATTAATTTTATGTCGTTTTCACAAAGAAAAACAAACATGTTGTTCCGCCTTTCTCGCACCCGCTCGGTATTTATAGACTCGTAGTGGATAAGTCGCCTCTTTACCTGCGACATTATTGTAATACCACTTCGGAAATTGAAGAAAACACCTTTGCTCCTTGAAGATGTTATTTTCAGGAAGCTCGCCTGGCTGACGCGCAGAGAATACAGTGTGTTAGTTGTTATTTATTATAAAGACAACTAGCATGCCCCGGTGTATGAATGAGTATAAGAAACAGCGGTGTCCATGACGTCACTGGGCTAATTATAGTCATCACGCATATTCCCTGTTATCAGTAGTTATTTAGTTGTCTTCACTTATTCAGGTGTTTCGTCACCTTGATATCCGGGAGTTTTCCTTTGAGACGAGTCGGCAATTTGCGTGTGTTAGTGTGAGTGGGGGCGGCGTCGAGTGCGTGTCGTTCAAGACCAGGACGTCGGAGGTGTTAATGGGGTGTCGATTACTGTGATGAGTAATTTGAAAAAGTCGACAGGTGATAACTGAGCAGACCACGGAGCAGTTATTATAATAGCCGTCGAGTCTCAGTTAATATCGGGAAAAGGTCCTCAAGTCGTCAATGAGGAAAACTTCACGATGTTGTTGCGGTATATTTCAATACCGTTTATAATCCACCCGCTCATAAGTAGTGGGATCGCTGCGAGACATGAAGGGCACATGAGCGTTAAAATACACACATAAGCGATACAACCTACAGCTTGACAGTTCATTCCTTACAACACTCATCCATAAAATGCATGTATGACTGATATTATTTTAACTTGAGTGGACAGGCGCTACTGATATTCTAAGAAATAAACACGATGGTTTGAAAACACCTGTCGAGTGTGTGATGTATACGTAGTCAATTCTCGTCGAATCTCGACTTACTGGAGATTGTAAAATAAAATAAGCAGAATAAGATGATGTGGTGAAGCTGACTTTTTCAAGGAGTCGCGGCATCTTTGAAAACGAACATAGAATGTTGTTTTATTAGTCTACGGGAACTTATGTGTTACTACAGTAGTTTCCTTATCTTATTGGAGTTCGACTGACACCATACGCCTCAGGGTCGCAATCGCTCCTGAAATGTCAAATTTGTTTACAAATGAGCTCTGTGGCCATGCCCGTGCAGTATACTTTCTACTTGTGAGGTAAAATAATGATGCGATGTCTCAATAAAAATAATTTGTAAATTTAGCCGAGACGTTTTTTGTTGTTGTTTTGTTATATTTTTTTTCCTTTATTAAAATAATCATTATTACGTCAGATTGTCAGGCGTTAATTATTATTCTCAATTGTCCGAGTTACCTTCAGTTTTTGCAGAACATTTATTCTTGAAATTCGCGCGTGCGCAGTCTTGATTTTATCTATCCGTCATTAATAATATCACATATATAAATTGCAGAATAAATTAGATTCTAGTGTTCAAATTTAATCATAAGCATCTCTAACTTTGTCATAATCATAAACATCTCTAACTTAACTAACTTTGATTTATGGACTGATTCAGTTAGCAACTTAAGGTTTATTTTAACTCATAGACAAAGGGACTAAGACTCGTGGATAGTAAACTGGTTTATTGTAAAACTCGTCCTCTACATTTGGTACACATCTATTTTTTTGTCTTTGCAGAAACATTAGGATAGCAACACCATCGTTCACGGTCGCTTTGTTGGTATTGTAAAACATTATTCTGAAATTCATCATTATATTATGAGGTTATTACCTCAAAGTATGCACGAAGACAGTACAGTGGCAGTATCGACCGACGCGCAGCGGAGGTCGATGCAACGGCGTACTGCCTGAGTACATACTTTGAGGTATACTCGTAATAACCTTATTATTATACATCTTTTCCTTCCAAGGATGCATCATGGAAATGCCGAAATCCAAAAAGTTTAGAATAGAATCAGCGAACTTCTTTGTGTGGAGTCAAACCCTGGTGGCAGCCATGTTTTTTTTTTCAGAGAGCGATTAGTACGCGCGTAATCATTCCATATTTGGAAATCGCATTTTTTTATATAGTAGGATGAAAATACCCCGTAAAATACCACAAAATCACGGCACGCTGTAACTTATGGCGTTGCGGTGATAGATGTATAATAATACATTATAATATTCTGTTCTGAGGCAATGTACTAACACATTGTGCAAGCATGTAATCTCAGTTCCAACATAAAGATGGATTTAGAACGCCACGTCTTACATAATGAGTAGTGTAAGGTGTTAGTAAAGCGACTAATATTACCACAATGCGAGTAACCTGAAATGTCATGAATGTCATATATATATAAACGACACAACAATATACCCTATTTATCTAGGTTCAAGCTTGAGTCGAGGAACTTGAACTAGAAATTTGGACTTTTAAAGTTATATTATTTTGAGGTAGTGGTGACATGTAGTTTAATAAATCTGGCGTATTGGAGATGGTCGGACTTTCGCGGATATTGTATTTCCGTTTTCAAGAAAATATTCGAAGTAGATGTTTCCGGTTTAGTTTTCTTTTGATCGATTATTGGCCGAATGTCATCGAAAACTAACATGAGCCAGTAGCACCGTTGAGTTCAAATGTATAGCTATATTGCCAAGGTTATTTGAATGAATTATTCATTTAACGAATTCCGGAAAGGGCCGATAGATGGTTTTTTAACGGATGTCCGTACATCTGACAGGTGTTAGTGACGTGTGAAAGTACTGGGTCATAGGTCACCGAGTCTCCATT